CTTCTTAGTTCAGTTTAATGAGATCTACTTGTATATTTTCGTTAAGACACCTTATACATTAAATAACCTATATATATAATTATCATCAATTTTTTATTTTCAGATTTAAAAATAAAATCAAATGAAAAAAGAAATGAGAGAGAGAGAGAATTAAATATAAAATATGAAATAACAAAGATATCTATTTATATAAAAATAAGGAATAACACATTCAAAGACATTATCTCATCAATCGGTGTTTGTTAACGAGATATTGGATATATTTTCCTCTTTTATGGAAAAGTTATTATCGTATATTGGAAGCATCTGTATTATGATGACCATAACTGTTATTAACACCATGATAAACTAAAAAAAATGTAGAATAAATTATTGCACACAATGAATTTATAATAAAGATTATAAATTAATTGCATGTAAAATTATAAAAGAAAGACAGAGACCGAAAAACAGAATAACATTACTGTGTGATTAATTTATAAAATATAAATTTTCATTACATAATTAAATATAATAATAAACATTTAAAATGCGATAAAAAAGTATATAAATAATAATTTGTAACATAATAATTTATAGTGATAAAATAATATAATTATTGATAATAATTTGATAAAATAATATAATTATTGATAATAATTTATAGTATGATAAAGTATACAAGAGGATAATTATATAGAGAAACTAACTTTTCGCAGAAGATCACTGCCAAAATAGAAGTAACCCAATCCAGTGAATTTTAGTGGATGGTATATCATACACAATGTAAACTGATAAATCTGTACGAACAGAATTCTTATGCACATATACATATATATATAGAATTATTATTATTTAAGAAATTTATGTAAAATATTTTTTTGTATTATAAAAATTTTATTTTACTTCGTCACGAATATCAGCATATTGGGGAAAATCTGTTAGTTGGTGAATAATTCTTTCCATTTCATTAGCCTAAAGAAATAATCAATATTTTATTAATAATAATAATCAATTATATATGTAATTATATGTAAATATGTTAATATATAAATATACAAATGTATATATATATATATATATATATATATTTATTTATTTATTTATTTATCGGGTTCACATAACTCTCTCTCTGTTAACATTTTAATACTTTCAAGAACTATGAGATCAATTTTAATGGTTTGATCTTGAATTTTATAACACATTGAATCTTTAAATCTATGTTAAGATCTTCTTCTAAACAGAAAGCGCAACTTTAAAATTTTCAATGAATGTAAAATAAATATTTTTCGTAATCTGTATTTAAAAACAAACATTTTTATGAGTTATGTGAATCACTTTGTATTAAAAATTTACCTTAGTGCTGACATGTTCACAAATGTAATTTAAACAGAAGAACCTAATCACACATAAGAATACCCATATTTGGATATCAAGCCAATATCATAGTGGTAATTTTGAGAGAAATTTCGTTTGTCTAAGTTGATAAAAAATTGCACAAAATGTTGCGAAAGATATCATATAAGTTATCATTTGCATAGTTATATGCCAAATATTTCGTTTAATTCGCGAGAAATTCGACACAATTCTAAATGGAGATGTTTTCAAGAAAACAAGATTTATTAATGAGGAAACATAGAAAAAGCATATGTAGATAAAGAAAATAATTATTATGTGATATTTGCATAAATCGAATTTTCCCACCGATTTTCAAAAATCTAAATTATTAAATTTAATAGTTTAATAGTCTCCAGAAAGTACAGATATATTTGGACAGATATGTGTATCGATTTACGTTAATGTCCATATTTGTTTGTAATAGTTAGTACGCGTCACATATCTAAGAATCAATACAGTGTTTTTCCACGTGCATCGCGACCCATATTCCTGTTTTATTAGCAAACATCTCATGTGCTTGTTTACTTCGTCAAATCTGATACCAATATACCTGTGTTACAAAATAAAAGCACTTATTATATGTATAGTCTAAAATATATCGAACATAAATTATTATGTCTACCTGTTAAGAGAAAATTTTTATATCATTTTGATATTAAAAATTATAGAAATAATCTATGAAAAAAATTTGCGAAATGTACATGAATAATAGCTGTCTTAAAACATTTTTATTTTGAAAATATTTTAAAAAATATTATATTTTTGTCATATAAAATATTTTATTCTTTTTATCAGTATTATACGCTTACACACACACATATATTCAATTTGTAATGCATATATATATATATATATATATATATATATATATATATTAATTATGTTTATTATTAAAATATAATAAAATATATATGTTTTGGAAATAATACTAACCATAGAAGAGCTACAAATAATATATCCATAAATGTGTTAACGTGCTTATGGTGATTTGTGATATAAATTAAAATTAAGATGTATTGTTTTTCTAACGATTTCCACCATATCATATCATTTATATTGATTATATTTGTAAACACTAACCATCCAATTAATAATCGTTTTGCATATATGTGCACTTTGTGATATAACTTTGAAGTGCCTAATTTTTCTAACGTGTTGTCTACAGCAGCAAGTCTTTTCATAAATATCCAAAATCTCTAAACAATATTAAACAAGAACAATATTAAGCAGTATTCAGGATATATTTAATTTTCTATTTATGATGTATATATAACTTTGCATAAAAGTATATAATGTATATATAACTTTACTGCATTTATTTTACACAAAATATAATATTTTAATTATTTCCATTATTAATTTCAATATTGAGAATATGTATACGTATGTGTGTGTGTGTGTGCATATGTGTGTGTGTGTGTGTGTGCGCGCGCGCGCGTGCGTGCGTGCGTGCGTGTGTGTATACGTACCTTATTATAATAAATATTTATAATAACAGATATAATGATGATCAAATAGGAAACCAATATAGTGATTATATTATAAGATTTAAAAATCCACTATTCTACTTTAAACTCGATTATTAGGTAATAAAATAGACAAGGCTAAATAATCCAAACTATCAGATTATAAAAAATATTTAAATAAATTTTCTTTGACAAGTAAGCACCAAAACCGAGAAGAGAAGAGGTTAACAGCAAAGGATGTAAAGCTTCTTCTATAGTGATCGCCATAATTACATCACCTTCGCGGTTTTTGAACGGACTGACATTACAAGTTTGTACAAATTCATTTTAATTGGTCACTTATTAAAACGATGGAATCAATTGTAAAGCAATTGGAATGATGGTATATTAATTAAATTGATTCATTAGCGCTATGCATTATTTAATACCTTTAATATCATATGCACAAGGAAGTCGATCGATTTTACTGAATTAATTAATATTAACGCCAATAATTAACAAATGGCTTTTTTAAAGAAACAGCTAAAATATTTACATTTTTATTAAAATTGTATGAGAAATAATGATTAAACTTCAATACTTTTTTAACGAGTTTTTGTATCTTCATAAATTCATAAATCTTCATTTTAATCATGTACAAATATTTAAATAATTAAAAAATTTTATATAATATATAAATTTGATAGATCATAAATTAAAGAAAACTTAATATACCTCTCTAAAAACGGTGGACAAGTTATTGGTCCTATATATATATATATATATATATATATATATATATATGTATATAATAAATGACGCGCATAGTGCGCTAGTAGCGTCTATTAACATAAATTTGAAATTTAAAAAAATTTTATTTATAATATAATTAAAAAACTTATGTTGATCACTGCTACATGATCAGTTGCTACATATCACTGCTACATGATCAGTTGCTACATATCAGTTTATTTTTTACTTCAGTATTTTTAAAAACAATCTGTTTACTATCCTATAAAATTTTAGTACAAAGTGGTGGAATAAATCTATTTTTTCATGGAAACAGTGATGAGTTCATTTGCATTTTAACATTCTAACAGTAGTTAAAATGTTATTTATTCCATTTTGCAGCCTTCTTGTGTTTTTTATCAAGTTTGGTTTAGCTAATTATAGTAACTTTTGATATGATGTGGACATTCAAGTAAGTTATATGTATTTCATATTTATCTTTATTTTTTTTAAATTTGTTTTATCTTAAATTACCTTTACAGAATTGATTTATCATATAACATGACGAAATAAAATTTTCTGTAATATACAAACATATTTTATATTATATGTATAATTTTTTATATTATATGTATAATTTTTTATATTATATGTATAATTGATAACGACAAGGATAGAACATGATACAATATTTTAAATTAACTTTATTATAAGAAAATTTTTTCTCATGTGTTATTGCGTGACAGTGTAAGCAGCTACTTGCAATTATAAGTTTAATAATAGTAAATAATAGTAATAATAGTAAAATAAGCGTGTAGGACTAGGTCAGTCCCTGACGGCATTTAGATCAATAAGTTCTTCTGCAACAATCAACTTAGACATTTAGATCAATAAATTCTTCTGTAACAATCAACTAAGTTGTTTCATTAGCAAGTTTGTTGTTGATGATGTTTGCGTCTTATTATTCGCGCGAATGTGTCTATTATTTTATAATAAATTGTCTTACAAGTTCTGTCTTAGAAGAAGAATGATGTTGTCGTGACTTGACTATTGCAAACGAACAATATCATATATATTTTAAAAAATTCGCTGTGCTCCTAACATAGCAGATTAAAAAATTGCAGATTAGAAAAAAATTAAATTGAGTTCTCAAATTGTTAACGATGTGCGGTGAAAGTTTTGCATTTTGGCTTTTCATAATTTTACTTTTTACTTCATCTTCAACGACTCCGCGAAACTTTACAAGTGACAACAAAGAGGACAACATATGGGACGACAACATATGGGAGGAGACATATAATCATACAAACTTTATTAAAAACAAAACGAATAATAATAATAATAAAAATTACACCGTTCCATACGAAAAATGCAGCAATATTACTTGCATTCAGCTTTGTTGTCCACTCGGTGATCGCTTGGTTGGCAAGAATTGCATTGCTAGTAAAAATGAATATGTTTTTCCAAACATATACAGCTATTCAAACAATTCGGTACATAGCGGAAATAAGAAGGTGGACGAGTTTTTTCCATTAATCGTTCAAAATTCGTGCCAGAAAACTATACGTTTTTTTCTTTATCCGGATTATTATTTCAAATACTTCAAGTATATGTTTTTCGCAAACAGCTCTCTGTATCTTCCTTATTTTGACATATTTGTCGAATCAACATCTCATTGTTTGGCCGTCGTGGATCATAATCAATTTGATGCAATTATCTGCTTGGAGGCTGTTAAAGAAACTATCGATAAGAAAATAGACATGATAGACGAACTCATAAATGATATCTTAGATGAAGAATTACATATTTTATTTTTGAGTAGCCGTATAATGTCTGTGTTGTGTTTGCTGACAACATTTGTGGTGTATTCTATACTGCCGGAGCTTCGTAACATACATAGTTTCATGTTGCGCAAATACTGCAGTTTGTTATTTTTTGGATACATAATTGACATTACATTTGAATTATTATATCCAATCGACGTAGTAGATTTTTCATATTTCATCTGTATTATATTTGGTACAGTACAGCTACATCATGTAATAATGCAGTCAATGCAGTGTATACATTAATTATTTTATTAATTTTTGTACCAAAAATATTTAAATTTTATTGTACGTTAAAATAAAATAAGATAATATTAATTTCTTTTCACTATTAATTCTTGTGTTTATAAAATTTTAGTTTATCGTACATTAGCAAAAGTGCATTAATACTTAATTTTTATTATTATTTTTTCGATAAAACTTGAATGTACGATATATTAAAATATTATAAACAAGAAACGTAATAGTGAAAAAAATTAAAATAATATTTTATTTTATTTTAACGTAAAACACAATTTAAATTACTTCACCTAATATTTTTTTACAATATTATTGAAATTCTGTAGAGTTATATAGCACTGAAATCAAAAAATTATTTAATATTAGCGTGTATTAATTAATTATATTGTTTTCTGTGATAAATTCTTATTGTTAAAGTTGAAGAAAAACGTTTTATACTATAATAGAATTCTTAATGATATACAAAATACTTCAATTAGTGATATTTTAAAAATGTTTATTTTATTCCTGCAGCTTTAGTTGGCTATTTCTGTCTTTTGTCAAGCTTTTTTTGGTTAAGTGCAATGAGCTTCGACGTTTGGTGGACATTTAGGTAAATTGTTTATTATATATATATATATATATATATATATATATATATATATGCTATACTTTATCTATACTTTATTTATACTTTATCTATAATATAAATTCATTTTTATATTGTAAGATTGTGATATTTTTTATACGCCGCAAACATGATATAATAAAATATTCTCGTGTGATATGTATAAATAATAAATTTAGGTTATGTCTATAACAATCCATAAAGATAAAAAAGAATAATGATTTGCATTGATCCGAAAGAATATATCGTATCATGTTAATTGGTAGTATAAAAATAATTATTTGGCTTGAGAAACGATAATTTTAATATAGATATGACACAAGTTGCATTTCAGAAATATGTACATTTTTTGTTGGAAATTTCTAATTTGCTTTTTTTAAAACAAAAAATTGATGTGTATTTAATAAGCATTCAATTGTTAAAGGAAAAATATATTATTATAATAACATATTTTAAATTAATAATAAAATAATATTAAATTATAGTAGAATTCATAATATAATATTCATAGTATAATATTACTAATCTTTTTGTGGTTTTTCATGTTTTTAAATATTATAAATCTTAAGCCAATATTGTTTAAATTTTTTCTTTTTTTATATAATAATACAAAATTTTCAAGCTTTTTTACGGAAATTGATTTCTAATTTTTTTATTAAACATTTTGCTAAATCAAAATTAATCCAATGTTATTAAAATATCGATATATTTGAATGTGGTAATATTTATTATTTTGAGATATATATAACATAAATAAATTTTTTTATAATTTATATAAAGAAGACATTTAAAATATTTGGAAGGCATATTTATTTTAATATTTGCATCGCAATTTGGTTTATTTGTTACTAATTAATTGTAAAGTAAACTCTGCATTTCGCAGAGATTTTCGTTCGTTACAAAGAAACAAGAGAGCGAAACAAGAGAGAAAAAAATTAATATATTCGATCTTTGCTTGGGGAGGTCCCTTTATTTTTACTATCATTTGTATTATCATGGATTTTGTTCCTAATGTGCCGGAAAATTTAATCCGGCCGGAATTATGTGTCGATACTTTTTGGTTTAATGGTGAGTATATGTCACTATTAACATAACTCTATTACAAAACATCTAATTAATTAACCCTTTGAGAATTTACTTTAAAAATAAAAGTATGTTCTTCTGTTATATTTGCAACATGTGTAAAGAAATTTATTATTTTTTGTAGAAGAAGCGGCGTCTCGATTGTATTTTGACGGGCCGAGAAGTGTCTGTATTATTAATAGCGTTTGCTTATCTATTTACACAGCATGGAAAATTATGCGTTATGAAAAGGACACAGCTCGTCGTCTGAGAGATTCAGAAAGCAGATTTTATAATGACAACAAGCGATGGTTTGTACACAAACATTTTTATATCAATATATAATCAGTCTTGTTTATCAATAAAACATGTCCTGCTATATTCACTTGTTAACGGTATTGCTTTTAATAAAATCAATTTCAGCATTTTTGATCATTTCCGACAAGAGAAAGAGAAAGATAATCATTTTGAGATTTCTCTATTGGCGACAAGATATTTTCATAAATACAAGCTCTCTTGTACAAACATATCGTTGTTTTTAATTTTAATTTAAGTTAGTAGTATTTATTATATAGTTATTTAAATATATTTAATAATGTAAAATACTCATGGTTTTTTCGAAGGAAATATTTATTTTTATGAAACAAATTACTTAAAATGCATCCGCTCATAATATACTTTTAGAATCAAAATATCATAACTTCAAAAAAAATAAAAGATATATATTTATTTGCAGGCTAAATCTGTATCTGAGACTATATATTATGTTGTTTCTCATAATAGCCATAAATTGGATTATATCAACAGTGCACGAATTTTGGCAGTTTGATGATTACGATATTAATTTGTTGATTAAACTGTCGTACGTCTATCATAGTATGTTTGTGATGGACACCATGCAAGATATCGGTATATTCATCATATTCGTGTGTAAGAAGACAATATTGCGACAGCTATTGAAGCGTTTTTGTCAGAATTGCAAACGTTTTTCCAAAACTTTAACATGAAACGGTTACAAGTTTGAATAACTGTATCATGCCAAGAACAATTTTTTATGGAAGAACATTAATTATGGAAAAGCAAACTGTCACACAAAAAGTTTGTCTGATGAAAATATATAATCTTATACATATTTATCCTTATCAGGATTATAATATCTAATTTAATATGTGATGTATAAGTGTGTACATTTATGTATCTCTCATATATCTCTCATTTTATTAGATGTGTGTATCTCATATTTTTACTTTAATTTGTACATATTTAAATGTGATGTCAGTTGTTTTGCAGCGATTTAAAAATTGTTATTTTTGATAAAAAACAAATTTTATGCATTATTATAAAATTTTTATGTATTACTTTTTTTGAAAAAGAAAAATTTCAAAAATACTTTAATCGGTTTATAAAGATTAATTTTTTTGGCAAACGTTATGTATAAAGAAAAACCAGAGAATAATACAAGTTCTACTATAGATAGATTCGACATTACCAATTCACTGGTAATGGCCCATATATGGTCAAAAATAAAAGTGCCACAACTGGTAATGGCCCATATATGTCCACTATGAATAACTTTGCCAATTTTCAACGGATTTGCATGAAACTTAATACACCTACATTTTTCGGATCGCCGATGACAATTTTGGGATCAAAATTTTAAAATTCAAAATGGCGGATTAAATATGATGAATTAATTTTTTTATTTTATTATTATATTTGTTATTCCATTAGAGAAGATTCAAATTCGATATGTTCAAGTTTAAATGTCTTGAACTAATCAGTGACCATTATAATTATCGTTATCTGTGACCAAAAAACGTACCGAGTGTAATATATTTCCATAATGGAATATCAAAGTTAATCACTAGAAACCGCCATATTGTTTCTGCCAGTTTAAATTTTGCAATTTTGTATATTTCATCATAAGAGACTTGAAAAACGCGAACATATCGAATTTGATCTTCTTCATAATAAAATAAAATTAGTCCGCCATATTGAATTTGCCATTTTGAATTTTGAAATTTCGTCACCAGCGACGCAAAAAACCTCTTATAGATAAACTTTCATGTAAGATACGAATTTATTTGCTCTCACCAGTTTTGGCACAAAACGTTGATTTCGGGTGTACCAGTGAACTAGTTAAAAAGCTCAAAGCTGTATATTCCTCTCGAGAAACAAATGCTTATTATGAATGCGCACAATAGAATAAAACATGGTGGAATTGTGAATGGTGAATTGTGACAAGATGAATTTGCAATTATCAATTACACATTTTTTCTTCAAAACAATTATGTGTTTTCTTTACATCAATGGATTTGTCTCATTATTTTGTACATAAAGGTATTAAAGTAGGTATAAAAGTATTAAAGTAATAATCGAAAAATTAATATTTTACTAGATATTTTATGATTTATGTAAAAATTAAGAAATTATTTCAAGCATCATAACTCGAAAAATACTCGATAAAAAAAATACTTTATGATAGTTTTGAAAAGCACTTGAAGTAAGCTAAAAGAGCTTTTTTCGAAACAGATAGCTCTGAGTTCCTAAATCCTGTGTATATATATGTGTGTGTGTGTGTGCGCGCGCGCGCGCGCGCGCGCGTGTGTGTGTATGTATGTATGCTTTTATATACGTAGATTCCAAACCATTCCTTCAAATCACAAAGTTTCCTTGATGACTCGTTGTCTTTAGTTTTATTTCATCTGTCTTATTATTTTTCTAGAATTAATTTATATCATGTAACATGACGAAATAAAATTTTCTGTAATATACAAACGTATTTATATCATATGTATTGGTAAAGATAAGGACAGAACATGATGCAATATTTTAAATTAACCTAATTGTAAGAAAATTTTCTCATGTGTTATTGTATGTTATTGTTTTCTCATGTGTTATTGTATGACAGTGTAAACAGTTACTTGCAATTATAAGTTTTGTAATAGTAAAATAAGCAGTGTTAGGTTAGTCCCTGACGTCATTTAGATTGATAAGTTCTTTTATAACAATTATAAGTTTGAAATATAGAAATTTTATTACGATTTAAATTAAATAGTTTTTTCGAAATTTGAAATCATTTTATAAAAATTTTCAAACGGTTAATTTCTATTTTGTTAAGTTAATTTTTGAAAGCAAAAGTAACTAATATTTCGAGATGTAATATAACAAATTTTCCTTGAACTTTTTTCCCATTTATTCCTAATTGTTAACAAGTGCAAATTGATACAAAACGGAGAAAGTATTTCACCAAATTACACAATAATTTTTTAGTAAAATGGATTTTTAATTTTTCTTTCGAAATTTATTTCTTAAAAGTAAATTAAAATTTATTTCTAAAAAATAAATTAAAATTTAGATTGTCATTGGATATGTCCTCTGTGTGTGTGTGTGTATGTGTGTGTGTGTGTGTGTGTGTGTGTGTGTGTGTGTGTGTGTGTGTGTGTGTGTGTGTGTGTGTGTGTGTGTGTGTGTGTGTGTGTGTGTGTGTGTGTGTGTGTGCCTCTGTACATGATATAAATATATAATAAAGATTACATTTGTCATGTGTCTTATCATTTTCATTAAATTCGGTGACCTTTAGTATTTGTCTTCCTTTGTCCATACACATCCCACTAACTCAGAAGATTTTACTGCACTGTATAATTCAAATTCCAATATTATTTTGCTAATTCAATAGGATGTATCTATAATCAATAACTTATTTTTCAGTGAATGATTTGGTGACTAATATTTCCTTAAAGAAATCACAACGTTAAAAAATATTATATACCGTAAGTATTCCATAGGCTTCATTATTTTCGAATTTCAAGATGCGATTCAATCGGTGGAAGACATCCTTAAAATATAATGTGATAGATTTTGATGAATCGCGTTTTCTTTCTACAATTTTTAATACTAAATTAACTCACTTCTGTACAGATGTGCCATTAATCGTTTCTAAAAACGATTGCAATGTTTCTGAAAGTTTTCCGTCACGTTCAAAATTGTAAAAATAATGATTACGCGTTGATAGCGTGACAGCTGGTATACTTCGTCGAATATGTGCGCGAGTGATCTGTAATACCTATTCCTGCATTACCGGTCTTGCGCTCCTATGAGCAGGCAACGTATTGAGCTGTATGTTGACGAAACACCCTGTACATTTTTCATTTCTTCTTTTTCATGTTCATTTGAAGAACTATATATATATATATATATATATATATATATATATATATATAGTTCTTCAAATGAACATGAGAGATATCTATATATATATATATATATATATATATATATATATATATATATAAATATCTTTTTCATGTTTATTTGAAGAACTATATACATATATATATATATATATATATATATATATATTTATCGGTTCACATAACTGTTAACATTTTAATACTTTCAAGAACTATGAGATCAATTTTAATGGTTTGATCTTGAATTTTATAAATCATTGAACCTTTAAATCTATGTTAAGATCTTCTTCTAAACAGAAAGCGCAACTTTAAAATTTCCGATGAATATAAAATAAATATTTTTCGTAATCCGTATTTGAAAACAAATATTTTTATGAGTTATGTGAATCACTTTGTATTAATAATTTACCTTAGTGCTGACATGTTCACAAATGTAATTTAAACAGAAGATCCTAACACTAATACTAATAAGAATACCCATATTTGGATATCAAGCCAATATAATAGTGGTAATTTTGAGAGAAATTTCGTTTGTTCAAGTTGATAAAAAATTGCACAAAATGTTGCGAAAGATATCATATAAGTTATCATTTGCATAGTTATATGTATGCCAAATATTTCGTTTAATTCGCGAGAAATTCGACACAATTCCAAATGGAGATGTCTTCAAGAAAACAAGATTTATTAATAAGGAAACATAGAAAAAGCATATGTAGATAAAGAAAATAATTATTATGTGATTTTTGCATAAATCGAATTTCCCCACCGATTTTCAAAAATCTAAATTATTAAATTTATTAGTTTAATAGTCTCCAGAAATTACAGATATATTTGGACAGATATGTGTATCGATTTATGTTAATGTCCATATTTGTTTGTAATAGTTAGTACGCGTCACATATCTAAGAATCAATACAGTGCATTTCCATGTGCATCGCGACCCATATTCCTGTTTTATTAGCAGACATCTCATGTGCTTGTTTACTTCGTCAAGTCTGATACCAATATACCTGTGTTACAAAATAAAAGCACTTATTATATAGTCTAAAATATATCAAACATAAATTATTATGTCTACCTGTTAAGAGAAAATTTTTATATTATTTTGATATTAAAAATTATAGAAATAATCTATGAAAAAAATTTGCGAAATGTACATGAATAATAGCTTAAAACATTTTTATTTTGAAAATATTTTAAAAAATATTATATTTTTGTCATATAAAATATTTTATTCTTTTTATCAGTATTATACGCTTATATTACACACACATATATTCAATTTGTAATGCATATATATATATATATATATATATATATATGTGTATATTAATTATGTTTATTATTAAAATATAATAAAATATATATGTTTTGGAAATAATACTAACCATAGAAGAGCTACAAATAATATATCCATAAATGTGTTAACGTGCTTATGGTGATTTGTGATATAAATTAAAATAAAGATGTATTGTTTTTCTAACAATTTCCACTATATCATATCATTTATATTGATTATATTTGTAAACACTAACCATCCAATTAATAATCGTTTTGCATATATGTGCACGTTGTGATATAACTTTGAAGTGCCTAATTTTTCTAACGAGTTGTCTACAGCAGCAAGTCTTTTCATAAATATCCAAAATCTGTAAACAATATTAAACAAGAACAATATTAAGCAGTATTCAGGATATATTTAATTTTCTATTTATGATGTATATTTAACTTTACATAAAAGTATATAATGTATATATAACTTTGCTGCATTCATTTTACACAAAATATAATATTTTAATTATTTCCATTATTAATTTCAATATTGAGAATATGTATACGTGTGTGTGTGTGTGTGTGTGTGTGTGTGTGTGTGTGTGTGTGTGCGTGTGCGTGTGCGTGCGTGTGTGTAT